TGATGTCATGAATATCTTACAAAAGTTCTAGAAAAATGGCAAGTGAATGTGCAATTTGTAAAATTTAAGTACAAATTTATGAAACAATTATAAAATAATCTACAACAATTATATTTAAACTTCTAAAACTATTTTTAAATAAAAGAAATAAAGAGAAAGCATGTCATGCATAAGTGGACTTGACCAATACTGACACTACTGTGATTTAAAAACATACATGAGCCCAGTCAGTATTTTCATGCTACTTTTAAAATAAATGGGAACTTCTAAAATATATTTATTTGAGTTTATCATTATACTGCAAAATCAACAAAAGTATAAAGCCTTCCAATTTACATTCATGGTAGGTAGCTGTAATTTAGATTACAATATATGCTAGCCTACGTCTTTCAGTACTGAGTAGAGTTATGAAAAGCATTCCTCTTAGCCTTATGATTTCTTAGGCTTATGATTTCATATCAGTCTCAGGACCACAAACCAATTTCATTCTGGAAATATAATCTTAAAAAGCTATAAACAAGGTTTTTGTCACTCAATAGGCTTGTGAAATACATATTCAATTCAAATTGATATAGTTATTAACCTACAATGAATGGGCATGCAGGATAGAGATCTCTCATTGTTTTAGAAATGCTTTTTATTAAAAGTAAGATATTATTATGAAATAGTATTATTATCAGGAACCTAATATCCTTCAACGAAATTTAATTTCTGACATTAAAAGACTCCACAGCCAAATGATCTACCATATGAACGCTACCACAGCACAGCCTCTGGAAGCCTTCCCGGGCTTCATAGTAAACCACTCCCACACTTGTCAATCATTGTCCCAGCCGAGCACAGGAACGGAAACCCTGGAGACATTATCTTCCTGGTGTATTGCTTGCAGATGCTAAATCTTCCACTGAAATGTGTCCTGCACTATTATGTACCTCGATTTTGATAAACATTTTTTTACTTTGTATCATAATTCCTGTTTATCATAACTTTTCCCTCATATATGCATAAAATTAGGAGAGGAAGAGCTTTGCTAGTAGCTTCTAAATCTCTGTCAAAGATTTGCTCATATCTTGCACGTGGTAGATCTCAGTTGTTTTAACTGAATCTTATTTATATTATAAAACCCCAAAAGCCATGGACTATAGCTCCATAGAGATAAATTATTACTGAAGTGCTCTTCTATGGGTTGAATGTCCACTCCAAAATGAATGTTGCTATTTAATTGCTGCTGTGGCAACATTGGCAGGTGAGACCTTTAAGATGTAATGAGCCAGGGAGGCTTCATGCCTTTGTCAAGGGAATGGGTAAGTGCATCCCGGCTGGCTTTGTTTTAAAATGAGCTTTGTATTGCACTCCCAGGCATGTGGTGACTTGTCAAGAAGAAACTCCTCGTTCACTGACACCTTGATAATGTCCTTCCCAGCTTCCAGAACTGTGAGAAATAAATTTCTTTTCTTTATTAATTACCCAGTGTATCTCTTTAGTAGTAAAAAAAAAAAATGGACTAAAACAAGCTCGAATTAAGACAATACTAACAAGGAAAGTGTTTTTTTTATAGACTATTCATGGCAGTGGATGGGAAAAACAGTTGAAGAAATCAGTAACATCTATGAATAAGATGTATGTAAATATAAAAACACCAGCACAATAAACAAAAGGAAAATAAACACCATTCCTATCTCATTACAAAGCAAACAAAATTCAATATTTGGAAGTATTTCAAAGATACAAGACCAGATGTATTTAAAATCTGAAACAAATTTGATGTGTGAAACAAATAACTGCTTCTTTTAATTCAATAACAAAATTGCGTATAATTACTTTAAGAGATAGGTCTGGGTTTATTATCAAATGTAGATAAACATAACCTAATATGATATCTTTATAAATCAGAACCTACATAAAACTTGTAACATTTGGAAACACATTAAAATGGACTTATTTATAACATCATCCTCATTCAAATTTCCCTATTTCTTTAGTGAGTGAAAAGGGGTAGAGTAACAGAGAGTGATTCAGGAGTTACCAGTAAATTGAAGTCAAATTTAAATATTCTGCAGCTAGTAATTCATTCAGACATGAGTCAGGCACTGTTCCAGTTGAAAGGGCAGACTATGTCTCTATATTTAGCGAGTTCATGTTCAAATACACAAATAAAATGATTCGATAGTTTTACTCTAGGAGAAAAAAAAGCTGGTTATCGGAAAAGAGAAATTATGGAAGGGAAGGAATGTTATTTCATACATGACGTATTTGGGAAGGCCTTTGGAAGAAATGAGTCCTCATTGTTAAGACTCTTGCCAGATTATTATAAGCAAAAAGCACTCTGTGTGGAAGGATCAATGACATCAGACTCCAGGCATAGAGGGTTTGGATCTGGGTAGGGATGGTGTGATCAAAACAGTGCAGTAAGCTATAGAAAACTGGATCAGAGAGAGCAAGGCAGGACAAGGTTGGACATTATGTAATCAGCCATAGTACTGGCTTTATTCTTAACATATGGTAATGGAATGAATGGTTAAATCAGGAAAAACCATTTGATCAGATTTACATTTTTAAGTAACCAATCTGGATAGTTGGAGTTTTCTGTAATAAATCATGACCATGTAGAAGTCTGTTGCAATAGTCTACAAAGAAATGTTGGAAGATACATGACATATGGTTGAAATTTGTAGATAGCAGTCCCAAGCAGTATATTGACATGTGCTTTATGAAAAAAATCATTGATAATCTCTTATCTTTGAAAAGAGCCAATGTTGTATATGGTAATAAGGACCAAATTTGCCATATGTTGATGTCTGAATTTTTCTATCCATTGTTCTACATAATGTATTTAATAAAAACATTAAATATACATGCAATATAAAAGATATTAAAGTAATACCTGTTCCAACATCATATTCAGGAGACATACATAACCAACTCAGAGAGATAAGCAAAATAACTAACAAAAGGCAAAAAATACCCATTTTGAAAATACAAGCTGAAATTGCACTATCCTGGCAATTATTAACTACAGGTACCTAATCCAGAAAACGAAATTTCAAGAAATGTTTGTTTCTTAAGTATTTCTTTAAAAAATTAATTCAGACTGTCCAAATGACAGTTACTAGCACAGCCAAGGGTGGAGAAAGCCAAAAAAAGAAAGTATTGGTATGAGAATGTTCAAATTTAAAAACTTGTTTTCCATTCAAAAAATGGGAGGGCAAAGAGGAGAAAATAAAAATTATCCTTAAAAGGCAGAATCAATAACCTCTACAACAGTCTGAGAACTCTAATAGGATGGTATCTGAAAATTCTTTACAGAAAATAGAGACAAATTCAAAGGAACGAATGAGAAGCCCTATTTTTCTTGTTTGATAGCCATAAAAATTCGTAATTATTTTGAGAGTATAAAATATCTTACTAAAGTTCCATAAGGCCCATGTATTCATTTCCAAGTAAACAGACACATTTGCAGGTAGAAAATACCTGCAAGAGCATGGTGATATTCAAAAGTTTATATTTTGGCAAATCAGAACCTGCCAAAGCAGTACACTTTTGAAAAAAATTAAAGAATACATATTTTAAATTTACAATACATGGCAAAGTATAGAAATGTTTGTCATGTGGTCAGATGCTATTGTGTCATCATTGTGTTCTTCCACAGTTAATATACAATGTTGGCAATTGATCTGAAAGAGATCATTTTATTAATATTTATTAATAAATTTATTATATTTATTAATATAATATCAATTTATTATAAAGAAATATATTTAATGATGAAAAATATGATGTTGGGTAACTTACAAGATCAGGATAACTTTATTTTAATAAAATTTATGTCTGAAAGCTGTAATAATCATCAAAATGTTGAAGTAGAATATTTATAATACTTGAACTTTTATTTTTTGTTTTTTGGGGGGTTTTTTGGTAAGGGGTTTGAACTCAGGACCTTGTACTTGCGAGGCAGGCGTTGGCACCACTGAGCTAAATCCCCAGCCCAAGAAGTTTTATTTTTTGTATCTCCAGTTATGGACAGATTTCTCAAATATATATACAATATGGTCAAATTCTTTTTTATCTTGTAGTCTATCTAATTTTCCTTAAGTTTTAGTTATGGTCATAATTTTTTTTTTTTGAAACAACCTCGCTCGCTGTGAGTTCAGACTGGCCTTCAGGTGACTGGCCTTGAACTCGTGGCAATCATCCTGCCTCAGCTTTCCAAATGCTGGGATTACAGGCATGTGCCACCACACTCAGCTCATAATTCTTTTAAACATTTGTCCAAATAACATTTTTTTTCAGTTTAAAACTTCTTTATTAACTAAGATTTGTGCTTCTTTCAAAACATCAGTAAAGCTATATTATATAATTCCTTTCAAATATTTCCACAAATTTCAATGTCTTCCCCTAGAATTATTAATTCTCCATTCTGAATATATTATTATAGTAATATTTTTATCACATATTCACTCCATGTAAATTAATGCTTTCTTACTGAGCCTGAATGATTCATTAATACTTTCATTTTTCACATAATTAAGTCTTTAGCTCCAAACTAATTTTAAAAAAAAATTTTAATGGAAATTAAAGATAGATTTTTTCCTAAATCCAAAGACAAATAACTTTCAGATTCCTTTCTTAAAAATAATTTACCATCGCAAATTGAGAAATTAAAATAACTCCTTTAAGAAGAGAAAGGTTTCCACAGAAAACAAATTGATCAGTTCAATGCAAATTAATTATATACATTATAGGGTAAATTTATGGATAAAGAAATATAAATTAGAATACATTAAATTAAAAGACCCTTTCAAGGGTTAATATTGTAAATTTGCTACATATAAGAAAAGTTGTCCTTTAAATTCTCAGATCTTTCAGTCAAACACATTCTGTTTTTCAAAGGATCAGCTTTGGAGAAATTTTATTTTTAAATAGCTGTAATTCTGCATGGTTCCTTAATTAGGAAAGTCTTCTGGTAGAGTGGGTTGGAAATGCTATGCTTTGACACTTACCTGGGTAAAGAAGGGTTCATAAATCTCAACTCCTTTATCGGATCCTTGTAGTAACACTTCCTGGCCCCGTCTCCAGCTGTACCTAACAGGTGGATTGGAGTTGGCAACGCAGCGGAGGAATACTGTTCTCTCATAGTAAAACTGTTCTTTAGCTTCACCTATACTCTGATGAACAGTTACTACTGGATCATCCAAATCTAGAAGAAATAAAAATAACCAAGTGTCAATGTTATGAATTGAATGGCTTTCAACGTGCCTTACACGGATAGCACTAACCAATGATGCATATTCCTTATTGATTGCATTCCTTATCACCGGGTTCACTACTTTCATTGAACTTACTGAATTCATTTTCAAAGAAACTTGCAATGATAAGAACATATCCAATCGTTATTTCTTCAGAACTGTATTCATTGAGACAAAACAAATGACCTTGCATGTTCAATCTCCTTGCCAACAGCCATATATAACAGCTCCACAAATGAGAGCAACATTCAAATCTCTCATTTAGAGGAGTTTAGACAAAACAATGAAGCAGAGAAATCAAAAGTGACAGAAAAATCAATTGTGTGCAACTCAGTTGACTCTTTTTCATAGTGTACTTCTCTTATCACTTACTAATAACCAATGTTTTTAAAATAAAAGAATTATGTTTACAATTATACTCTATATAGCAAAATATGATCTTGAACTGAGTTAAATTTTACTCTCATCTAAGATTTTACATTAGATTTGCTAATTTAAAATGTGCTAACAGAAGGCACTATTAAAAGGCCCTGGTATTTCTATTGCTGAATACTAGAAAAAATATGTGACATTTTATATACCTTTTAAAGGACTATTCCACATAGGGTTTAGGATTTTCTGGGAAAAGATCTGTTTGTAAATTTCATGGGCTTGTTGGTCATTTGCTTATTGTGTTAAAAACTCATCTCCATCCTTGTGGTATAAAAGTACCCAAAGACATTATGTAAATGAATAAAGGATGAATGTTGCTGAGTAAAACTTCCAATGAAAATTTAATATAAATACAGGCACTCCCAGACAAATGTAGCTAATGGATCCAGCACCTGGTAGAGCATAAGAGGAGAAGAAATTCAGAAATGTACTTGCCTTAGACAACAACAAGCTCTTAGTCTCATGTGGTAGAATAAACTTAGTATATACACGTATTTACTGTGATGTTAACACTTAGGAATTTCACCTTTACTCTTTCTGCTTTATAATGAGAGGTTACTTAACTTTGGTGAGCTTCAATTTTCTTACCAGTAAAATGGAAATAGTAATGACACCATATTATTCAGGCTGTTGAGGATTAAATAAGTACATAGTAAATTCTCAACAAAAGTTAGCTATCAGTATTATTATTAATTATATTGTCATCACGAGAGTCTCATTTAAGTAACTCCTGTTGATTTCATGTCTTCTTGCTGCTATCTCACCAATTCACAATGCACTCAACTCTCATTATAAATAGGTACAAATAGGTCACTTGCCCATTTGTTCAGACTACCAAATGCTTCCACACGATAAGCACTTTTATGTGAAAGCTTGAAGAAAAGCCACTACATTTATATGGACATAAGAGTAATGAACTGTGTGAGCATTATGTCACTCTGTATATTTAAAAGGCATTGTTCCTGAGAAAAAGACTCTAATCCAGAAAATATCACAAAGCCAACAAAACTAGTGAAGTAATAGCTGCCTTATGGAATCAAAGTAGAGAATTTCCCCCATCTTTTAAAAAAGTATTCTTTGAAGTGAATTGCTTGACAGTAATTCTGGTTTTGCAACATTCTAAAGTTTTTTCTTCTTCTTCCAACATTAGAATCTTTTCACAGCTACCTCAAAGGCCTCTAATTTTAGTAGTGCAAATTTACCAAACAACTGCTGCTTTTTGGTAAAGTTTAAGGAACTTTCATTTAAAATTCACTCTATTAGCTGTGCAAGGATATATATGCTATCTGGTCTTAATAAGTTGGTATATTTAGAGATTCTTGAATCATCATCATAAAAGTTTACAAGTTTTTCAAATATATCACATATTCACTCATTTAGTGATTAGCTTCTCATATATAAATCTTAGAGGAGTTTAACTGTACTTCATTGAATGGAAAAAATTACTGTACGTTTCTGTATTTTTTGTAAAAAGTATAATTTTCTTTCTTGGTCAAAATCTAATTTCCCTTAATCATTGGTTCTTTTTCAAAAGATATAAGCTGGAGCATGTTGTAAGAACAGAATTATGAAGCCGAAAAGCATAGGAACAAAAGAATTGGCTGGTAATCAATAAGCTGATGTAACAACGGTAAGTATCCTTGGGTGGTGAATAGTTAACAGTGTTACACTTTCCAACATCAATTTATTGATGTGTTCTTAACTTTTTTCTTGTTAGGTGGTGGTGTCAGCAGGCTTGGTGAGAAATAGACTAAATCTAAACAACTGGTTAAACACGCTCTTCCCTGGTGTAGCTGGGTTTTGGGTCACTGGCCTTGTGAGAATCTCATTCTGTGACAAAGCTTACTGGACATTCTCTTGCCTGTGTTATCTGCCAGATTCACACATGTTTAGGAATTTCTACTTCATGAAATTCTCAAGTGAATTTCTTCTCTTTAGAATTAAAAACTAACCAGCCTTAACAAGATTACACAAGCAAAATAATGGCATGGCTGGAAAAAATATTTTCACTCGGGAGGTTATACCTAGTGTGTGCATGTATGTATATGTTTATATAGACAAAAACATTTATGTCACAATCAATTTTAATGTATTATATATATTCCATGATTCCTAAGTGTGTTACAAATATGCGTATTTATCTTAGGTCAGATTTATGAGAAGAGGGATGTTGGGAGATGTGTGAGCAGGAAGTGTGTTAGGTAGGAGCTCCTAGGTCAACAGTGGGGAGTGAAGGAAGGAGGATTGGGTAGGGGAAGGGCTGAACTCTATGGAGTTGCAATGTAGATCTCTGTAGCTTTGGGGAAGTTCTGGAGCTGTGATGCACCCTCAGAGATGTCCTGCCCTCGGGCAAAGTGTCTAAGCTTTCTACACCTACCCATAGTGCCAGGAAGCAGCTAGTCCATTTGTGTTGCTTCTCACCAAGGAGTATGACCTTGGAAAGGCCTGGTTTTATTTGTCTTAGGGAAATCTCTAGAAAGGGAATGAGCTGGTGGCTACCAGCTGCTAGAGGAAAGAGTGCTTTGTTCTTGAGGAGGAGATGGGGATCTGTGCACTACAGAATCCACTCAGAGCCACTTGCTGGGGATGACAATTCTGGCTAGTTTCCTTTTCTGGGAAAATTTTCAGAAGGCACAGTAAAAGGATGCTATTCATCATCTCCTCTACCATTACTGTCCTATATTCCCTGTACCTTGGGCTAGTGCATCTTGTTAAGGTATAGGTAACTTCCCTACTGGTGTTAGCAGAACTTTGTCACTGAGAAATGTAAGATCTTGGTCACCATACCCTTCTAAGGCCATGGTTGATGCACTGGCCTGTTTAGCAACAAAATCGAAGGAGAGAACACCGAGAGATAACCCATGAATCAACTAGGTATCAGACACATTCTTTACTGCCTCACTGTGTAACAACAGCCCTACCTCCCGTGGAACCCATAGCCTACTTACTCCTGCCAGGACAGTGACTCTTCTTATCTGCTGTTTCCTGACACAGGAAACTAAATGGCTAAATAACTTTCATGCCAAAAGATTAATGGGGCTCTTGCTGTGCACTTAGTAAAAGCGATTTTCCTTTCTGGGAACTGAGACCTCTAAACTGGCAAAGCTCAGAGATGCGGGAAGAGAAGTGTAGATTCCCCAAGTAGGTCATTGGATGAGATGGTAGTAAGTGAAGTCACTGCTTGATTCTTGGACCTATACATTTTTTACAGTAAAATAAAATATCATATAATAATGGTAACTGATTTAGGATTAAACTTCATCCTAGCAAATAACATCTTCCTCTCACTGGATGTTATCTCCACAAGACTCAGTTGCCCTTTCAAAAGGCCATCTGATCATTGTATTAAGTTGGAAATTTTAAGTGATGTGGTATATGCTGAGACAAGATAATCCTATGGTAACTTGCGCACTTCACAATCCTAGATATCCACATCAACCTGGACCCCATGCAGACAGTCCTCAAAATGTTTCAGCAGTAGATGTCTACACAAGGAATTGGATGCAGAATCTTATAGAGAGAACTTATAGGTTCGTTATCATGTATACTCAAAAGAGTTGCAGGATTCTTCCCAGGGATTCAGTTTCTTTTCAGTAAAATGAGTTCAAGGTCTGAAAACTGCCTCAGGTTAGAAATTGGGAAGAGTCCTGAATTTTTATTAGATTGCCCTATCCAGTCTCTTGATCATGCATATTTGACTTACTTTAGTTCTGTAGATCTTGCAATAGTTTGGTGGCTGTCCCCAGGAATGATGTGTTCTATTAATCGTCTCCACAGATCTGTGTAAGTTTAGAATCCTGGATGCATTCAAATTAGCTGCTCATTAAGATAATTGTGCCTACTTTATGTGTGACAATGAAGCACTGTCACTTGGCCCTTATTATTCTGAGATACTATCATTGACACTACTTTTAAGAGCTAAATTCTGTAGTAACATCTGCTGGCCATCAATATTTGCCTATAGAAGTCACCACTGAGCTTCTGAGGATGCCTGTTTCAGGATGTCCTAATGGCTTTAGTCAGTGAGGTGTCCTCCAGCCTTTATGTAGAATAAAACGAGCTGATGATATTTCTAGACCTGACCTGATATAGTCACCTTAGCATGTCTAGATCACTGAATCTTCTGTTTTTTGTTTTGTTTTGTTTTGTTTTTATTGTTGTTTATTGTCTACTCAGCAGTTCTAGCATTTTTACCTAATTAGTGAGGACCACTACTTTTTAAGACTTCCAACAGTCAAAGTTATTAAATCTTATATCAAGCTGAACTGTTTCCATATAGACTCTTATTCTCTATCCTCATTTTATCTCATTCTTCATTCCCAATCTTTTTCAATTTTATTTTCCATTCCATTTAATCCATCAGCCTCAGTATCCAGTTCCATATATATCATCCTAAGTCCTACCATTAAATATTGGCTAGAGTCTTCAATCCATTTGAAGCAAGTCTTTTTCTTCTGTTAAAGATCTAATAATTCCAATGTCTCATACTGTTGTCTATTAGCCAGAAGTGGAGGTGGAG